TCCTCAGCACCACATAAGCAAAAAGAAAAAAAGCCAGAAGTGGCGCTGTGGCTCAAGTGGTAGAGCGCTAGCCTTGAGCTGAAGAGCTGAGGGACAGGGCCCAGGCCCAGAGTTCAGGCCCCACGACCGGACCCAAAAAAAATAAATAAAGGTGTTGGACTCACATTAAGCTCCATCCTTTCCCCACAAATCTTTCCCTGAGGCCCCCAGACACTGTGATCTTGCCTATGGCTGTGAACCATCCCTGTGGTAGGCAGAGAATTGGGAGGGAGGGGGGGGAGGAAGGGGGGAGGGGTAGCTGGAGACACAAGGTCAAAGGTCAAGAGTGCTGTCTAGAAAGCCCCTTTCTCCCCCCCCCCATTTTAAGCCTGTGGGTTTTGAATTGAGTGTGGATATGTGTTTGGAGTCATGATCACCACCTATTGTCCTTCTAGCCTGACTGTTAGCCACCACAGTGAATAGCAGCTTCCCTTGGAGCAGAGGGAGCCTTGCCCCCATTTTACTGGGACCCAGCCTCCTGCTTGGGTGTGTGGAGGGTGGTGGTCGTGTATGACCAGAGGGTGGGCAGTTCTGTAGCGCTGGGCCCTGCAGGAGGAAGGGAGGGGCTGTGGTGGTGGTCCAGCCTTCCCGGTGACTCCTTCCTTTCCCCAGGTCATCGGACTCCTGGATGTCTTCACCCCAGCCTCCTCCCTGCGCAACTTCCACGACTTGTGAGTCAGGCTGCACCAGACTCTGGGCTTACTTGGTAGTGGGAATAAGTTGGGAGAGCTTCTGTCTCCTAGGTGTGTGTAGGGGGTGAGAGCTTCCGCCCTGGCAGTTCGTGGCTGTCAGGTAGGGCTACATCCCGACAGGAAAGGCAAGCAGGTAAGAGATGGAATGGATCGATCTGGCCACAGGTGTCCACCCTGCAGAGAGCTGTGTGTGCTGCTTTCTTCCTGGCTTTAACACCATGAGGACAACACCATGAGCCCTCAGTGTCTACTCCCCCTCCCCTGCCGTTTCCTGGGGCCTCAGGCCTTTTCCTAGCATGAGATCAGTTAGCCTTGGCTTTCTCTAGCTCATTGAGCATTTGACAGCTCACACAGAACGAGATCTGCGAAGTGTCACTCTTTGCTGGGACAGTGATGGGACAAAGTTGGAGTTTGGACGGTGTTGAATTCAGAGTGCAAGCAGAGGCCAGCCCCAAACTTCAGATCAAGACTCAATTCCATAGGTGGCCTTGAGTCTGCAGAGATTCTGAATGTGGTGGTGATGTGGTAGGGTCTGGTTTTGGAGATGTACTTGGCCAGCAGCAAGAAAGGAGCGGAAGCCTTTGGGGAGGACAGACAGCAGGGAGTCCGGGGTTTGGACCCTAGACTTTGATCTACAGTGGAGGGGGTGGGACTTCCTGAGGCAGGTGCCAATAGAATCTGGTTCTCTTTGTTGGGATATGGTGGTAGAGGGAGCTGGTATGGGTAGGGAGGGCCCTGGCTCCTGCTTGGAATACAGGGTGGAGGAAGAACAGCACTTGGAGGAAAGATTGTGAACTTTACTTTTACCGTTTTTGTTGTTGTTGATCATGAGGCCTGAACTCTGGGTTTGGGCTCTGTGCCTCAGCTCTTCAGCTCAAGGCTAGCACTCTACCACTTGAGCCACAGCACCACTTCTGGCTTTGTCTGCTTATGTGATGCTGAGGAATCGAACCCAGGGCCTCATGCATGCAAGGCAAGCACTTTACCACTGAGCCACCTTCCCAGCCCTAACTTTACTTCTTAAAGAGGCTGTGAAATCAGCAATTGCAGATAAACATAGACCTCCGGAGAGGAAGGCAGGGCTGGATATGTGGATGTGGATTGTGGATGATAGTTGAGACCCAGGAACAGATTATTGTAAAATGTTGACAGATGATGTTGATTCAAATACTCAGAGAGAAGACACAAGAGGAGAAGGAAAGCTGGGCACTGGTGGCTCCTGGTTACTATTCTAGCTATGAATGACATTAAATCAGAAGGATCACAGTCTGAGACCAATCTAGGCAGAAAAGTCCACAGCCCTTCATCTCGATAGAAGAAGCTGGGCATGGTGGCACACCCCTGCCATTCCAGCAGTGAGGGCAGATTACAGTCTAGATGTCCATCCAGACCTGAAGCAAAACCCTATCTCAAAAATAATCAGTACATGAGGCTGCAGGCATGGCTTAATGGTAGAGCACCTGCTTAGTGAGTGCACAGCCTTGAGTTCAAGCCCTAGTACCACCAAAAAATTAACAAAAGAGGGGGAAGAGGTGAAAACTGATAGCCTGATAAGAGAGAGAAGAGACCCAGTAGAGAATTTTGAGAGAGTATTGGGGTGGCTCACGCCTGTAATCCTAGCTACTCAGGAGGCCGAGATCTGAAGATCATGGTTCAAATCCAGCTGGGGGAAGAAAGTCCATGAGACTTATCTCCAACTAACTAGCAAAAAGCCAGAAGTAGAGATAGGACCCAACTGGTAGAGCATCAGTCTTGAGCTCAAAAAGCCAAATCAGAGCTTGTATAAAAAGAAGAAAAAAAAATCAGAACCATGGAGACAGTCTCCACCATATGCTTTAATCAACACGACTCCTTTTATAACCAATCGTGTTTTGCTCTCAACTTCGCAGTTACTCCCTTGAGTAACAGTTACCTGCTGCTACCCTCGGGCCCCTGCCCCTGTTTTGCAGCCCGGTGACAGGGTACAGTAGCCCCTCCACCTTCTTCCATCCTCCTGAAAATTGTTCTCTGTCGCCTTCCTGGTAAAGCAGACATCTTATCTTGTTGGTTGGTAGAGCCTGACCCCCAGCTCACAGCTGTGGATTGTTTGTCCAGGGTCATGGAGGAGGGTGGGGAGAGGGCACCTTTGAAGAGCATGAACACAGCTCCCTTTGGTTTTCTTTTTCTTTTTTTTTTTTT